GTCGAATTTTAAATAAAACCTCATACTAAACGCTTTCCTCCCATATCCATCTCTTGTAAAAATTATAGTTAATAAATAAATTTAAGTATTTTAAAATGGAGAGTTATTTTCAATCACACTGTGTATATATATATATATATATATATATATATATATATATATATATATATATATAATTAGTTTTTTAAAAAAATTATAACATAAGTATGTTATAAAATCACTACAAAATAGCTATTTTGTTTCAACACACTCTGTGTCTTATCAAGTGATGATGTTGAAAAGAAAATAAATGGTTTTAAAAGTTTCAGATTAATTAACGATCCTACACTAGGGGGGAAACATTGTTACAAAAGCTAGAATAACCAATCAAAAACGAAGTATAGAAAGATTCAAAAGCTTGACAACGAAATCCTGCTATAATAGCTATTCAGATCTTTAAATACGTGTAATATTAAAAATAATTTATACTAACTAATAATTATAAAATTATATGATAAAATTTAATATTAAAATTAAAAACTGTCAATTTTAAAATCCAAATTTAATCACTATTAAGTTTAAAACTACAAAATTATTGAGAAAAGAAAAAATATATATGTTTATTCAATTCATTTTTTTCATTGAAATTACGTTCGACAAGACAAGACGCTACAATACATCCGGTCATTTGACAATACATGTATATATATTTTTTTCTTTTTCCCTTTCTTTTCCGTTTTTATTTTAAAGTTTATGAATGTGGTCTTAAACTCACGCGTAAAAACAACAAAAACACAATCAGATTATAATACATAAGCACCCAGACATAATTAGATACACACACACACACACACACACACACACACACACACACACACACAAAACACACACACTAAAAAATAAAAGGAAGTGGGGGGGATACATGAACATCTCTACAGCCCTTTATGAAAAAAGGAGACGAGGAAACTAACACTTATACACACACACAGTTAAATGTGAATACACTCTACATACATATTGACACCGATATATACACATACATACATCCACAGACAATGACATAGACAATGAGAAATCACAACCAATAAATATTTCAGACTTAAATAAATGCTAACCATTTATTGAATTATAACTTAAGGGAGCAAATATACAAAGATAAAAATGGTTAAAAATAATATTATTTAATATATTAAAACGAAAATTCTAAAACCATAAATATCAATAAAAATATATATTAATCATATAAGTTGATAATAGTTTCATTATATATTAGGCAAAGAAAAACAGGACAAAAAACCCACAAATATATACATATATATATATACACGGCAGCAAAAACAAATTAACACACATAAATATACACTCATACATATACATACAGAAATACATACAAATAAATATATAAACATAAACATATACGCACATATACATATCTATGATAACAAGTACACATGCACGCACATATACATATAAACCTAAATACACACACATATATACACACAGACTTTTATGCACACATACTTACATATATAAAAACAGTCATGATATACCAAAGTTTCCATACCCACACATACACACAAACAAACTCATACATAATAGGTGCCAACACACACACATATATATACATACACAAACATACATAAATATATATATACACACATACATACATATCTACAAATAAACATATATATAAATATATCTATCTACAATAACAACTACCCATATATACATGCATACATAAAAATACAACAACTTTCAACCAAATACATATATAAACGAACTAACATATAGATACATAAATATACCTTCAAACACCAACACACAGCAATATACATATAGTCTAACATACAAATATATAAACACATTCATACAAACAGAAATATACTTAAATATAAATACACATACACAATAAAATAGGACATACAGATATATATATATATGCACACACACATATATATATATACACACATACACACATACACACACACATACATATATATATACAAATATATCGTGGCACAAAGCCGAAATTAGGGGGCACCCAGTGAGGAACGAATTCATTACTCAGTCGCACCTAATCTAGCGAACCATGCTGGCCAACCATTATACTGCCGTGATTTTATCATACATATACATATACATACTCATACATATACACATACACACACATACATACATATACACACATACATACATATATATATATATATATATATATATATATATATATACAACACACACACACACACACACATATATATATATATATACATATATATATATATTTATATATATACATACATATATACACACATACACACACAAATACATACATATACACACACCCATACACACATACATATATAGGCACACACATACACATATACAGCAACAATTATTAACCTTTACTCTTATAATCTACCTTACCTTCCCACATAATATATATATACACACACACTCACATATATATACATACACACACACCCCACACATACACCCACACATATAAAAAAAAAAAAAACATAAATACACTTATACACCAACCTACACATTCCTCAGTGCAAATACTCTAACCAACACATAAATAAATATATACACAGTTACACCAACACTAATAACACTATGCAGGTAAACAATACACACTTATATCGTAAGTATGACCATCATGCAATAAAAATACTAATCTATTAAAAATACAGCGACATATCATTATCATTTAAAGTATACGGCCCCTACACTAAGTTAAATTTATAACGGTGTTTACAATTTACTGTAAGTTCATATCTTTGATTTAAGAGATCAGCCTTGTTTTTAAATCTAATAATTTCAAATTTTTCATTAAGGCATGGGTAACATGGGGCATATAGGGAGTTACATGTCCAAGCTTTCTTAACCAAACTCCATTTAACCGTAGGTGTTTTGCTCTTATCTTTTAGATTCCAAAAATACTTGGATAATGAAGTCACGTACCTATATTCACTGTGATTAAAGGATTGCATATGCCCCCGCCAACGTTCCTTGAATGTTTTCATAGTAGAACCAATGTAAAACTTCTTTATATTTGGATTTTCAATTGTTGAAATAGTACCAAGATAGACTACAGAAGTAATACCACAGTTAGTTTGTAGTGGACAATTATTCGGATTCCTACAATTACATAAGTTGTTATTTGTATTCTTATAATTAGTATTGCAGTTAGTAACCTGTTGATTAGTCAAGCCTTTTGAACTCCTATACTTGTTAAAGACTATGTTGTTATGTTTTTAATTATCTGCTCCAGGTTATCAGCACAACTATAGCTTAATTTAAGGGTATTAGGATTAAATATTTTACTAAGTGGGTTAGTTTCAGGGTTGGGGAAATGTTTTTGATTAGGTTTATAAATATACGCCCTAACTTAGTTTTGACCATAACATTGAAAGGGGAGTGAACCAAATAATCTTTCTAGATCTTCTTTTTTCTTATTATGGTTGCAATTAACAGGGTTTTTATATTGAATAGTGGTATTTTTGTATCCACTATTTTTTAGTGCAGAATTATAAAAATCACTATGTTTATTGAAAACCTCCTTATTATAAGAGTTAGCGCTAATTCTAAATTCAATGGAAGAGGGTATATGTTTGATAACCGAAGGGGGATGGTTGGAATTAGGAGGCACGTATAATGGGTTGGAATTAACCTTCACATATGGTTGGAAAATGTTGTTAGCAAGATCTAGGGTGACATCTAGAAAATCCACTTGTCTAACATTAGTAGTAACTATTGTCCTAAGACCTAAATCCTTAAATACCCTATAGATCATTTTCCTAATACGGTCTAACTTAATTTTAGTGGAGTTTTTAACAACTAATAATCCATCATCTCTATATAATCCTACACTATCTGAATCTAGACAATGTGTGTGTGTGTGTGTGTGTGTGTGTGTGTGTGTGTGTGTGTGTGTGTGTGTGTGTGTGTATCTAATTATGTCTGGGTGCTTATGTATTATAATCTGATTGTGTTTTTGTTGTTTTTACGCGTGAGTTTAAGACCACATTCATAAACTTTAAAATAAAAACGGAAAAGAAAGGGAAAAAGAAAAAAATATATATACATGTATTGTCAAATGACCGGATGCATTGTAGCGTCTTGTCTTGTCGAACGTAATTTCAATGAAGAAATGAATTGAATAAACATATATATTTTTTCTTTTCTCAATAATTTTGTAGTTTTTAAACTTAATAGTGATTAAATTTGGATTTTAAAAATTGACAGTTTTTAATTTTAATATTAAATTTTATCATATAATTTTATAATTATTAGTTAGTATAAATTATTTTTAATATTACACGTATTTAAAGATCTGAATAGCTATTATAGCAGGATTTCGTTGTCAAGCTTTTGAATCTTTCTATACTTCGTTTTTGATTGGTTATTCTAGCTTTTGTAACAATGTTTCCCCCAGTGTAGGATCGTTAATTAATCTGAAACTTTTAAAACCATTTATTTTATTTTCACCATCACTTGATAAGACACAGAGTGTATTGAAACAAAATGGCTATTTTTGTAGTGATTTTATAACATACTTATGTTATAATTTTTTTATAAAAAATAATTATATCTGCTCTACTTTGTATTGAGCACTCTTTTAAGAATAGTAATTGTTGGTTATTGGAATTCATTCCGTATATACCAATTATATACTTTGATATATATATATATATATATATATATATATATATATATATATATATATATATATATATATCAGTGTATTTATTTCTGTCCCAGTGTCTACATAACCATCTTATCAACACTTTGCAGGTTATTTAAAGCCAGAAAATATTTTTAGATTTTAAGGGTGGAGATAATAATGGCTTAGTCTTACTATTTAACCCATAGCTGGGGGAGAATAGGAGGATTCATACCTTTCCCAAGCGTATTTGCGCGTAAGTGAATAAAATGAACCTAACAGAGATTTGAACTCGGCACTCCTATTAACAATTCCGAGCCATTATCCATTACACCACCCGCACACCCAAGCACACAGTATTCCCAAGCGGTCACCCATCTAGGTACTGACCAGGTTTGACGTTGCTTAACTTCGCTGATCGTACGGGAACCAGTCTGTTCATATTTATATCAGCCTCTTCATATTTATTTTATTCTTTATAGATCTGAAGATAGATAGGTATATACCTATCCACCTTCTGTCATCCTATAGTATTCATATAATAAGTCGTTTGGTTGAATGTCCTCGTCTTTATTATCCAGGTGTGCAAACATGTCAAAGGAAATGCAATAATAAATTCAATGGTGACAATACGAGTTCGAATGATACATGCAATAAGAAAATCTATTTCATTTCACTTCTCCAGTAAATCAAAAAGAATAACTTTCAAATGTTAAGACTATATTTATTTTATTAGGTACCTCCAAAGAAACGCGGTGCCTAAAGTTTAAAATGAATTTTTAAAAAATTAAAAAAATCTTTCTTGAAGCTTCTGGTTTAGTTTTAATTTCAAGCTAATAGATTAAATTTAATATTTCTAATAAGCAAAATACTTTGCTGTATTTTAAAACTAAATTGACAAGGAGTTTCTTTTTTTTAACTTTTTTTTTTCGTTATTTTTTGCCATATGTCAGCACAATGTAATTCTCATTATTAAAAAATATCATTCAAAAATAAAATATACTTTTCTAAAACTTTATTTGGGGAACATTAACTGATTTAAAGTTTAATTAATTTGATTTGAAACAAATATTACTTACTTTTTAGTTTAAAATATCACAGAAATACATTTTTATCACAGAGGGAGGTATTTTGATTAGGTATTGAGATCTTGACAGCCGGAAGTTTATCTTTTTTTTTTTTTTTTTTTTACAGGGCACATCTCTGTAAAAATTACCTGAGGAATATAACGTGAGCGACTTTTTTTTATAAAATTTTTAACTATACAGAAGACTTAAAAATTTAGGAAAATATTATCCGTAATCTAATATTTCATTGAATTTAAGGTGTTTGGCTTTAAATTTACTATAGTAATCGCTCTTACCGTCTGACAATGTCGTGTACGGGTGTCCGTATTTACACAAAGCGGCACGTTTATATACACACACACACACATACACGCACACACACACAGAAACAAAATTCAACATTCTTTTTAAAATATTGAAATGTAGTAACGTTTGCTATTTATGATTAGTAAATATAGTTTTTCCTTAATAACTATATCGCCTAATCAGTACAAATTAATACAGAATTTTAAAATGTAAGAATTATTCTAAATAAAATTATTTTAAGATTTAAGAATTATTATAATTAAAATTATAATTAAAATTATTTAAATATTATAATATTATAATAATTTAAATATAATAATATAATAATATATATATAATATAATTAAATATAATTATATATAATGTAATTATATATATATAATATAATTAAATATTAAATATTATAATAATTATAATATTATCATTATTTAATTATAATAATATTAAAATAAAAATTATAATTAAAATTATTTAAAGATTATAATTAAAATTATTTTAAGATTTAAAATATTTTTATTAAAAAGTGAAGACAATTCATGTAAAACTTCATTATTCATCGAAAAGAATTTTCTGAACATAATAGTGTTTATAATATATATTATTCATAAAATCAGTTAGAAGCTTTTCTAATTAAGTAATGTCTTAGTTTGATTGCATTTTTTTTATTTTACGATTCAGAGCAGATTTTTGGTGGTCCTCTTTTGCCAAAAAAAAAAAAAAATAATGATGATTTAAATTCTCCAAGGACTTCTGCATATAACTAACATAAACATTAAGCGATACAAAAATTAATTTCTTGAAATTTCTTGAAATTTCTTGAAATTAAATAAGCGGCTTGGGGAGTAGCAGAAAAGAAAAACAATTATTTTTAACAAGATTTTCTAAAAAAAAATAATTTCTGAAATAATTTAGTTCAATTGTGAATAAGTCCTGAAAGTTTCATTAAAATCTAAAATTGTCCAAGGATTACAACTAAAGAAATCAGACCTGTTCAGAATACACCTTGGAGTATTTGTCAAATATCCGTAAGGATCAAATTTTGATGATAGTTTTGTATCATCATTTTTTAAGGTGTTTACTATTTCTTTCCAGATGATAACTGACTTCATTTCGTTTTCAGGTAATACAACCAAAGCATTGATATACTAAACTATCGAGGAACAGAAGAGAACAATGACAGCCTCAACAGTGACAACATGAGCGAACAAACAACGTTTTCCAGGTAAGTTATGGAGCTTCATTCAGTCAGATAAGGTAGGGTGGAAAGCGTTTTTTTTTGTTTTTTGTTTTTTTTTCAGATGCTAACGCCCGCTATGCAAGGCCGACGGTAGAAATCTAAGACGTATTCAAATCTATAATCCTAAAATTAGAATCCTTGCTACCAACCTGTTAAAAATCAGAGTAATTTGATGGATCATTTTACTTGGATTTTGCTTTCTTTATTTTAGGCAAAGGAAATTAAAATTTGAATTAGTCTCATGGCCAAAGGAACTCAAAAAATTCGGATGAGACTAATCCCAGATTTGCTCTGGATTTAGCTTATCGCTGTCTAACTGTTATATACCGTACCTATGAATACTAATAGGTATGTCCCAATCCTCATAAATACGTTGGACACAATTGTAAGTAGCGGTTATATGCTAAGTAGTGCACCACTACCAGTGGTTTACCTATTTCACGTCGCTGGCGAGTATTGTATTTTGTTGATGTTATAAAGATTAACATTTCCTTTCCAACCTCCGTTTTGGTTATTCCTTATTCTGTAACCCTTTCTAGGTTACAACACTAACACATAGCCAAATATGACGAAAAACCAATTATTCAAATGGAGAGTATCTTCTTGCTATCGAAATCCCGGGATTTTTTCTAGGGTCGAACGTATATCTTTGGGCCTCGTCCAGAATGTAAAATTTAGAACCTGGGTAAAGAGTTTCCTTTTTCGCCTGTAATAATTTTTCCCTTAATAGAAGATTACAGAAATTGGTATTTCCAAGCGGTTACCCATCTAGGTACTAACCAGGCACGACGTTGCTTAACTTCGGTGATCAACGTGACGTGGCCCTAATACAGCCTCCAAATGAGAATGTTCCAAGTATCAAGTTGTGACTCCCAAGTGGACTTGGTTATCTCTTACTTCAAACTTAAAAATAGCAATCCCCTTGAAACATGACAATCAATACTAACTAATTCAACCGTCCTGGGTAAGATGATAAACTATATCCAACTGCAAGGCCTTTGATCAGAAAGTTTTGAGGAACGTGGAACCACCTCTTAATTGCTGTTCTTCCCAGATCCACCCTGACCAGCGGTGGTAGTACCTGTGAGGGTCCCAGCTATGGGCAAATAGCTAGTCCCACCAAAAGGGGTGAAAACACTATGAAAGCATAAAAATAGGTTTTAATACCAGCAATACATATTTGAAAAAATATTACCAGCAATAAATTTAAAAAAAAAATATTATCAGCAATAAAGTTTTAAAAAGAAATTACCAGCAATACATTTTTGAAAAGAAAATATTACCAGCAATAATATTTTGAAAAAAATATTACTAGCAATAATTGTTTGAAAAATATTACAAGCAATACATTTTTGAAAAAACTATTTCCGGCAATAAATTTTTGAAAAAAAAAAGTTTTACCAGCAATAAATTTTAGAAAAAAAAATAGAATTTTTACCAACAATAAATTTTTGGAAAGAATATTACCAGCAATACATTTAAAAAAAAATATTACCAGCAATAAAAATCTTGTCGGCATTCAATAACCCAGTGCGATTAAAATGCCGTAAAACAAACCAAACCAAACTAAACAACTAATTCGAGCACCTCAATAGTCTCTCTTTCATACACACACACACACACACACGCACGCACACACGCACGCACACTGAGAAACCGTGCAAGAGTATAAAGAACAACTGCTAAATTTTGGCTGCTTTTTAAACAGTTCACACAGAACATTATAGACATTTTTATGTTTAACATCCTTTTTATAGATACAAGTATTTAAGTAAATGCTCTGTTTATAATAAACAGTATTAAATAACATTTACCGGCCTGAATGTCCGAGAAATTTTCATAGAAAATATTAGTCCTTTGAAAATTTCTCGGACATTCAGGCCGGTAAATGTTATTTAATACTGTTTATTATAAACAGAGCATTTACTTAAATACTTGTATCTATAAAAAGAATGTTAAACATAAAAATGTCTTTAATAAATTGTCGGACTTTGTCCATTTCTTAATGTACAGAACAACCTCTTTTGGTTGACGGCACCTTTTCACCATAAATCAGGATGCCATTCCCCCCACCGACCTTTCCAAGACTGTGTGACTCAAAAGGAGTAATCCAAATAATATGCATATATTATAGAAAATCTTTATTCTTTTCCCTATGAGTAATTTGGTTTGGTTTGGTTTGGTTTGGTTTGGTTTGTTTTACGGCATATCAGCCTCAATGGATTATTGATGCCGACAAGATGTTTTATTGCTGGTAATATTCTTTCAAAAAGTATTTCTTGTAATATTTTCCCCAAAAGGTACTGCTGGTAATTTTTTTTTTCCAAAAATGTATTGCTGGTAATAATTTTTTCTTCAAAAATTTATTGCAGGTGATAATTTTTTAGAAAAAAGTATTGCAAGTATTAAATGCTATTTTTACACGTTTTGACCTCAGTTTGGGGATTAACTATTTGCCCGTAGCTAGGACCCTAACAGATGCTACCATCCCGGGTCAGGGTGAACTTGGGAACACCAGAAATTAATAGGTGGTTCCACGCTCCTCTAAACTTCTTGATCAAAGGCCTTGCTGTCGAATGTAGTTTATCGTCTTGCCCAGGATACCGTGTACATTCACATGGATTACTTTTTTGTAGTGGCAAAAAACACAAGCGGAAAAAATCATTAACAGAAAGAAAACCCAACGTAATCTCTCATTTTCTCGGACCGTTGTATATTGCGGGTTGTTGGAGTTTGAATCTACCAATCTGTGGCCGTAATACCCTTGTGAAACTTCGAAATCCCCCCCCACACACACACACCTGGTATGGGAATTCCCCTCTGTTTGAGAATCCCTGTATT